ACTTTAACTTGGGGAGTGTATCATGAGGGAAATATCAATTTTAGCCACCCTTATGCCACACAGGCCTCGACACGATACGAAATCTTGGCTTAGGTGGGAGATCCATTCGAAGGCATTAACTCTCTAAACTCGATGATCCGACATGCATTGTGTTCTAATTGTAAAGGCCTTCCATTTAATGAATGAAACAATTATGAAATTCGCCATTTCGTGGACGAGGCCATCTTGGATATGAAACTTTTCGGCCAAACACAAACATATTGTGGCAAGTACTGCAAAACACGAATTGCGGTCCAAAGCGAACAACAAGAGAATGACAGAATGCGTGATAAAATATGTAGAAGTTCTGACATCGAGAATCGTAGAATGAAATGTTCGATAAATTGAGTTGTATTGAGTGCCTTAGCAAGTATTTTAAACTGTTTTAATTGCCTTAACAAGTATTATAAAGTGTTTGTTGTACAATAAAGGTAATTGTACGGTAATTTGGTCACTTTGAACGTTTATTTAACAATCCAGTGAAACGAACCCGAGGATTTAGGAAACCCATAGAATATACCATGATAAAAATATAGTAAGGTAGAACCGCTGAGAGTCACTTTTAAAATTCTTGACGTTTCCAAACAATTTAATTTTTAAATTTACTCACAAACTCACACACACATTTTCATTTTCAATCTCAANAACAATTTCAATTTTTTATTTTCACTTTTATATGATTATTACATTTGGTGCAAAATTGAGTTAATAATAAAAGAAAAATCACAATTTATGCATTTTTCTGTGATTATTTGGCAAATTTGTATTGGATTTTTTAATATATATTAGAGTATAGTTTAAAGCACTACAATCCACCATAAAAATATTAAATTTCGCTAACGAATATGCACTCCATCAATTTTTGTTAATTAACACATTGACACAATTTTGCAACCATATCATTTATTAGAGATATTGCTACGCTGCAACTCGCGAAAATCCATAAAAATTTTGCCGAATAACCATCGAAAAACGCTGAAATTGTGATTTTTTTATTATTGACTCAATTTTGCCCCTAAGTGTAAGTAAAAATACTTACAAAAACTTTCTATATAAATTTATGATTTCAATAATTAGTTTAAACTTTTATTAAAATTATATGCCACAGCTCGAATTTCTAGTCTATCCGACATTTATTATTTAGTACAATAATTTAACTGAAACTGCAATCATTTATGAAATTATGATGTAAAAAATGACGCAGCCAACGCGCAGTGCGAGATTTTGCCAATCTACGACATCAAAATTTAATTTTAGCCAAAGTTTTAGAGATATCAACTTGAAATTTAGCATGATTTTCAAAAAGAACATAAGCTTTAACATGGTTATGAATAACTAGTTCCAACTAGTGTCAAAGAGAACTAGCTCCGAACTAACCCTAAAAAGACTAGCTGGAGAAAATTTTCCGGAGTAAAACCAAAAAATTTGTATGACATATATTGGGCAAATTTGAAGGAAACTTCATGACAATTTTAAAAAACAAAATTAAAAATATAGGTTAATAGGACCTTTTTTATACCAAAAGACTAGCTGGAGAAAATTTTTCCGGAGTAAAACCAAAAAATTTGTAACACATATGGCGGGCAAATTTGAAGGAAATTGCATGGCAATTTTGAACAAAAATTAAAAAATACAGGTTAGTAGGATCTTTGTTATACCATAATGGCCGCCAAAGTTAAACAAGGATCGAAATTTCACTTTATAATGCCTATATTTCCCTAGAAACTAAAAATATTTTTTTAAAGCTGATAAAATTAGCTAAAAAAGCTCCATAGGTAGTTTTTCATTAGGGTTTTTGGTTTAGGCGTGAGAATTTTTTTCTAGAACTACTGCCGATCACCTTCTTAAACCTATAACTCCACAGGGTTGCATTTTAGACCCCACCTCTCATACAATTGTTTGTTCGTCTAGACCTCTCCAATCACCTCTCTGAACTTGGCAGGACAACTTTTTCTCAAAGCAAAAATTCCTATCGCATAATTTGCCGTTAATTATCCGTAAATTATCCGTGAAAAGAATAATTTTGCCGCGGACATATTTTAAAAAATATCGAGTGCCCTGCTAACTTCCGTGGAAGTTAGCAGGGCACCTTCTGAAAACCAATAAAGGAAACCAGCTAAACCCAAACTAACTATCTGATAATTTGCCGTAAATTATCCGTTGTTTATCCGTGAAAAGAATTATTTTGCCGCGGAAACATTTTAAAAATATCGCGTGCCCTGCTAACTTCCGTGGATATTTATTAAAATGTTTCCGCGGAAGTTAGCAGGGCACGCGATATTTTTTTTAAATGTTTCCGCGGCAAGATAATTCTTTTCACGGATAAACAACGGATAATTTACGGCAAATTATCAGATAGTTAGTTTGGGTTTAGCTGGTTTCCTTTATCGGTTTTCAGAAGGTGCCCTGCTAACTTCCACGGAAGTTAGCAGGGCACGCGATATTTTTTAAAATGTTTCCGCGGCAAAATAATTCTTTTCACGGATAAACAACGGATAATTAACGGCAAATTATGCGATAGGAATTTTTGCTTTGAGAAAAAGTTGTCCTGCCAAGTTCAGAGAGGTTCTCCAATCATCCCCCAAAAGAAAAGCACTTTTCACTGGGACACCCTGTATAGGCTTAGTCTTTTTGGCATAGTTCGAAACTAGTCCCCTTTTACACTAGTTGGAACAAGTTTTCCATAGCCATGCTGAAGCCTATGTTTTTCTTTGCACGCATGCCAAATTTATAAAATATTTTGATTAAAATACATAAGTGCAAATATAAGGGTAATGTATATTTTTAGAGAAAGTATTGAACTATAATACAAAAAAACTGTTTGGCAAAAAAAACCCGCACAACTTTAATTTGATCGCTCAAAGCTTTGTTATCGATCCAATCAACTTTGTTTTTACATGCTGTTCAATAGCACGCGTTTGATAGCTGTTATCATGCCATTGACATTTCTTTTATTTTCTTTTACGCTTATTTTCGTAACAATGTGGGTATTTTCTAACGAATTACAAAATATGATCGATTTTCAAGCACATTTATTTTTTTTTCTTTTGACGTCCTAGATTGACCAAATCTCACACTGTGCAATGGTTTCTTCATGTATATCACACTTTCCGAAGCGTGTGCATTCCAAAAGTGTTTAGTTTTTTGTCGAAATTTACATATTTAAGATTTATGCGGCAAAATATATACATATACACACATAAATAATGTTGTTTTCGTTTCGATTTAACGATTTTTAATGCAGCAGCTACTAAATCACTTGTACGCCCTGCTGCCCCTCGTACCCGTCAATTGCCGAATAGCGCCAAAGCGGCTATATTCGGGACATGCGGTTTTCTTGACAAAAAACTAAACGAAAATCAAATATGGCACGCATATTTCCGCTGTTAAAAATTTTTTACTACATACGCACCAACTGGCCGAGACGCACCATAGACCATATGACTTCTTTGCCATATTCAGACAAATACACACATACAGAGCAGATGTATGTATATTAGACTGCATCACCAAAAAAAGTTGCGGTTTTTCCGCCGGGATTATTCTATTTTAAGACGTCCACCAAAATATTTCGGAAAAATATTAAGATTTCAGCGAGCTGGACCGATTTGAAAATACCTCCAAAAATGAAGTTTTTTATGAATAAAAATGTTTCTTAAAGAACTTTTTGAAAAAAGTCCTCTTAGATGACATCTAATCTAAAATCTGCATAAAAATATTTAAAAATCTTTTCAACGGAACCGTAAGAATGAGATTTTTGATGCTGTTCTTTTACCTTTTTTCACAGATTTTTTTACGAAAAACTTCAATAACTGGGCCAAAAATGTTCTGATTTAGACTTATGGGATCTCAATAGAAAAGTATTTTCATACTATTCTTATTTCTGGCCAAAAAGACGTCATTCGTGTCCCATCTTGTTTTTTCGAATACCAACACATCTTAATTCAACTTTGAATGACGTTCGTTCATCCTACCTTTCTCTTCCATCCTTTGAATGAGTTTATTAGTAAAGAAATAAAAAGGACGAGAAAATACGTTTCCAATGACACCTCTTAAGTCTAAATAGGAAGAGTTTAGGTTCAGTTTTTTAAGCTTTTTCCTATACCAATCTTTGAAAAAAGTTAAAAAACAGCATCAACAAACAATCTCATCATTACGATTCCGTTCAATTTTTTTAAAAATTTTTTTTTTTAAATATTTTTATGCAAATATTTTAAACTTAAACCGTTTTGTCATTTGAGGGGATATTTTCAAAAAAAGTCTTTAAGAAACTATTTTTATTCATAAAAAAACTCCATTTTTGGAGGTATTTTCAAGTCGGTCCAGCTCACTTAAATCTTAATATTTTTCCGAAATATTTTGGTGGACGTCTTAAAATATAATAGATTTTATAATTCCAATGGAAAAATAGTACCGATTTTTTTTTGTATGGGGAGTGATGCAGTCTAATGTAAGCTTCCCTATAGCTATATTAACTATGATTTTCTTACAAATGCATATATGTACATATGTATGTACATTTTATGTATACCCACGGCAAAAAGTATTGGCACAGAGAATTTTCCACAATATATGCAACCATTATTATTTAAATATTTTTCCGCCAATTTTTCTTATAAAAATATGGCTCATACTACAACAGTTCAAAAAAATTAAAATTGCCAAAAATCGACAGTAAGTCCAACTTCAAACATGTAATTCGTTATGCTAAAAAATTCTAAAAAATCTGATGAAGAAGTTTAAAATCTGCATAAAAACTTATTGACTTTTCATGAGTTTTGTACAAAGTTTAGAATTCAGTTTTTTGTTTTATTGTTTTGTGTAGTAGTATGAACCATATTTTTATAAAAAATTTGCGGAAACCAATTAAAATAAAAACTGTTGCAGAGATTGTGACAAATTATCTATGCCAATATTTTTTGGCGTGAGTGTAGCCGGCATAATTTATTGCTGATACTTACTTTTATTTGAAATTGACTGTCTTCCAAATTCTTCCTTACTCCGTTTTTGTCGATCGTTAGCGTATGTGTTCAGAATTCAGTTCAGCTGCTTTGTTTTTATTACTTGATTAATAATTCGCAGATCGTTTTGACTAGAGACGAGAGATATGGATTTGCATATACATAAATATTTATTCGATTCGATTCGTTTGTTAAAAATAAAAATATGTATGTATTTTATATTTTCTTCCTTTTATATTTCATTTAAGCGGCGTTTTAATTTTCGGCAACTTTTTCGCTCTTAAATTAAAAAAAAATTATTTTACAACAGTGCCACAAAACAACAATAGCAAAAAAAAAATACAGAAAATATATAGAAAAACTCTCATTAAAGTTGAAGTTTATTCAACGCTCTTTTATTGCAAATTCTCTTCAGGATTTTTTTAATGCCACATTTATCTCGGCTTTTATTTTCATTTGTCTTTCGATTACATTAGTGACGCTCAGCAAAACGCTTTTGTTACACTCCATAGTGTTTGTTTGCGGCTCCGGGTGTCAGATGAGTCAACGCGTGGAGTATGTGTGTGTGCGTGTGCGTGTGCGTGTGGGCGGCCGGTATGTGCATTTGCGCATTCTTGCGGTTGGAATTAATTCTTCTAAGAATCTTTTTTATCAAAATAATGCATTTAATATACATGTGTACATACGTTTGCAATGTTAGGGTCAGCCGGAACCGCAAATGTTAACAGGAGCGGGGTATTTTAGATCACTTGACGAATATAATATATACATATAGAATGTTTGTGGTTATAAAAAAACGGGTTGAAATTACAGATTCTAATGTACATACGTGCATATTATCTATACATATAATAAAATTGTAACAAACCGATGTGTGTACATTACAGATATTAAAGAAAAATTAATATGCGGGCCTTTATTAAAGCAATAGAAGCTAAATCAACCACTTTTAGAATTATTCTCGCCGATGTATTGCTAGAGGTCTAACTTAAACTAGAGAGTTGCCAGCTGTTTGAAAATTGTAGTTTAAGTATATTTAGAAGATATAGTAAATATTGCAGTATGGCTGTCAAAATAGAGAGGATTAAGAAGGCTCACAGCCGAAAATAGAAAATTTTAATTTAGTTTCTTTGATAAGATAAATTAAATATTACTATATGGGTATCAAACTGAAGAGGTTTAGGAAAGTTCACTGCCGAAAGCACTTTTTATTAGGGCTGCAACCTGTTTGAAAAGTTTTCATTAATTATAATTGATAAAATAAATGAAATATTACAATACGGGTATGAAACAACATAAAATTACTTTTAAGGAGCGGTGAAGCACGCCGGGTATTTGATAGTTCGTAATAAAATAATTATTGGTTCTTTTTAGGTACTGGTTATGCGATCACTGCTGACCTTCCTCCATCTAAGCGTTCTTTTTTGAGCAGACTACGATGACTGGTATGAGTGAATAGTGCGTTTGTTTGTCTCTGCGTTTTATAATTTTTTGCTATCTTTTTCAATGTTCGTAGCTACATATGTGCTATATGCATACATATATACCTAATTAAATTTAGTTAAGTACACAAATTTGTTGTTGTTGTTTCTGTAGCAGTTGTTCATTTTTTTTTGTAGTTTATTTGCTGTTATTTTGAGCTTTACTGGTAAGAACTATGCTTATTTATTTTCCAACTCCGATGTACAGCGACCTACAGTTTGTTCAATTAATAAGCCAATTCACACTTTCTGATGTTATAACTAATTATAGGTAGTTTGCAGTATTCATGCAAAGAATAGAAACACTAGAGAGGGAAATATACCAGCTTATTTTTATTTGTTTCTTATCGGTTTCGCTTACTCTTGCGATGTGTTTAATTTATAAGTTTTTTTTCCTGATCCTATGATCGGATCTAAACCAAATTAGTATGGGACCACCTCTGAGGTTCGCTTCCTTTAAAAAACGTCAGCAAATAGATAAGGCCTTATTGGTGTGACCTTAGACCTGGTAAATTTTTCAAAGACCTGTGATTAACCATACGTCAAACATTGGAAAAGACCCGCGAGTACACTGAGGGAAATAATGCATAGTAAAAATGAATACTTTATATTTGATTATCGTTTAAAAATGTTCGTATTTAAAAATAATATTTTCATACAAAATTTATTACGCACGTATTTGACTGTTCACATCTGAGTATGTGTATGTAAGTGTACATACGCACCCCAAGCATGCAGAGCGCCGCTCTGAGAGCGGTGACAACACACACATTCATACATAGTACATGTTTATCCGTACAAATCGCGTGCTGTGGTGTTGATGGATATTCAACATTTGAAAGCAAATTTATATGTCTGGGTGTAGCTGAGTGCGCAAAGATGCTTGCCACAAGTTGTTGATATCCGGAGATGGTCGGGCTCGAATTCCACTGCAGGCAAGATGCAAATTAATTTTTTTTTTTAGTTTTTGTCTTAATTATTCACTTCATGGATGCTTTTTCAGTACGAACACGGTCATTTTAATATGCGCGTAATTGAATTGAATATTTACCAATATACAGTACTTTCGTTGACGTTTATAGTAAGATCAATTACGTTTCTATTTGATTTTAATATTTTTTTCCCTCAGTGTAGAGGCTCCACACACGGCTGAATGAAATGAATGGCAATGTGCAATATCTCCAGCTCAGAACTCGGATGGTACTTTACAAACCGTTTGATGCCAAACGAAGTTTCTGATGGGGCAAGTCTTTATCGTGCGACGTTCTTAAACTGATGCCCGACTAGATAATGAGAGCTCTAGAATTTCGTCGCGCCGAAAACCTCGACTTCATTGGCATTTCCAAGTTGGATATGAAAGCAAATCAAAGCCTGGAAACGACGAGGACATTTTTAAACTGTTGGCGCATTCGCGCCTTTGCACTCGCATCGCTGTTGATAGTTATAATTTCGAAAAGGACTTTGTTTTATTTGGGAACTAGCCTTAACAGCAATACATATGGTATGTGTGTACATATGCTTCCGCTGGGGATATTCTATCTCCCTTCCTATGAACACTGGTTGTTGATGAGCTCCTGGAAAGCTTAATAGGCAATGCATTTAACGATTTTGACTATGCAGATGATCCAGAAGACACCCTTACCCCTATATTTCCGGCAGCCTTGAAGCTAATTAAGAAATTTTGGTCTCAAAATGGCTGCCAATAACGCCACTAAAGTTCCCCATAGTCCCCTTAACCAAAAGAAGGGAAATTTAGCTAAACCTACACTGAGAAGGATGAAAGCTTAAACATTGTATGCCTGTCAATGACTACATGGGTAAACACTGGGTACATATGCGTGTTTGTATAAAAATGTAAACCGAAAAATGAGTTCAAACGGCTTTACAACTTTAAATTTTGTATTCATTTAGCGAAAAAAGGTTATTAAAATGCGAGATGGTGGAGAGAAAAACTGAAAAAATTCAATAACAAATTATAGTTTTATTACTAGTAAAAATATTGTATGGGGAAAAAATCTGGTACGTCCGTTATCACATTTTAATTGCCCAGTTAACCAACAACGACCTTCTTCTACATAATTAAAAATGAATTGGTTGTAATGGTCCGTAATTTTACTTTATTTAAAGAATGTTTAAGAAAGGAAAACCTCACAGGATTCGCAGTGTTTTGCTTATCTTTACATGTACGCTGAAGCCACTTCTGTTTTTGTAACGTCCGTTATCACCTCCTTTCCATCGATTTTCTCGACACCAGTGCTCCAAGCGCATCTAATTTTTTTTGTCTACCAAAGGACGGTACATATGTATATGAAATACACAACGGCACATTTTTTTTATAAGTGACTTCCGTTTTCGTATGATTTATTTAACTCCAAGGCCGTATGAATGTCACGTCCGACACCATGGAAACACCCATATACATATGTGTACATATATCCCCAAAACTGACGTTTTAGTCATTTAATACATTGATCAAACCGATCACCACTAATACAGCACTGTCCTGATGATCGGTCAAAGTTTTAGCGATTGGTCTGTCTAGCCATACGCACCTGTGCAATGGAAGCATTGAGAATCATCATAGTTATACTACCTCTAACACAAACCAATTGAAAAGGGCGAAACAAATCGTAATTTGATGTCGGAATTCGTCAATCGTCTGTAGTGCCAAAAATTGCCCAAATGGCGAAAAAAAAATTATACGCAAAGCTAAGCCCAATGACTAATGACGACGGGAAAAGTCAATCTATGATCTGAGAAAACTCGGAGGCCTTTGGAATCTGAGTCGAGAGTAGCCGGTTATCGTTTCCGTTAAGAATATGAAGCAAGACAACCTCTAAGGTAACTTCATAAGTATTCTGAGGTTGAAGTAAAATTATCCAGGGTTAGCTAAAGAGATTTCCCCAAATCTCTCAATCTGATTATTAAAACCTACCCATCTAACATCATCCACCTCGTCGCTATAGTTGATCTATTTTAGGGAATAACAACTCAATCGATTCAATGACTAAGTAAATCGAACCTGACAATAACACTGGATGAAATAAGTGGTGATGTTTAAAGTAAAACTTACTTTCCTTAAAAAATTTTGAACTGCCTTTTTTTAAATGCTACTAATTAGTTTGTAGATAGTTTAAGCTGTAAGCCAAAGTATTTTGTTGAAGTATATTTGTGCTTTGTTTTTTTTTTACTTACTTTCGTTCGTTAGGATCGTAATCGCACCGGAAGAAGCGCGGTAAATGTGTATTTGTCTAACGCAACGCAGTTCTGAAATCCCGCTAAAATGATATTACATATGCTCTAGATTTTGCTTGCGTCACTTGTGTCGCCTGAAAAATTTTAATTGTTAATTTCGTTTTTTTTTTTTAATAATTTCATTTAATTATTATTATTTTCGTGTGCTGCATTCATTAAACGTAAGCATGAGAATTGCGTTGTACGTTCTATATTTTGTTGTTGTAATATTTAAGTGTTGCCACTATTTTGATTGTCGTTGTTTGCTGATCAAGGCGTGTGTCGTTGATTCTGCATATAGTTAATATACATATGTATTATGTATGTACATATATCTTCCTGTACATGTGTACCTAAGTTATAATAATTTATTTCAAAGGCTTCCACTTCCTCTTATTTGGCGTATACGCTACTTCACTTTGTTTTCTTTTTCTACATATGTATGTATATATACATATGTACACTATATAGTATTTTTATGATTTTCTCAGTGATTTCAAATTGTTTTTGTATGTAATTAGTGTTTAGAAAATTTTGTGTGTGCAGCTTTGGGTATTACGAAAAAACAAAAATAGATTTTTTGCTGCGTACAATTTTCAGTTTTTAGTTTTGAATTTTTGGGTTCCTTGGTTCTTGGTTTGTCGATTCTATTGTATTCCCATTTAGTTATTTCGTTGGTGGTGCCGTATGTGCATCTATTGCTGCTGGTTGTATTGTATGCCGCCTTCCTCTTGCACTGGACCGTTCTTTGATCGTCGTTGTTCGTTGCTTTTTATCTACGCCAGATCGTTTTCGAATAATCTACGGAGATTTCTTCCGTTCGTTGGTTCTGAATTTCTATGAGTCGCTTATCCGTTTTGCAGATTTTCCTTGCTTGCTAATATTTTGTTTTTTTTTTTCGTTTAAAATTTTCGTTTTGTGTCTTTCTTGTGCGCTAATCACTTTCAATGATTTTCACACTTTTTATCTAATAAGTATCTCAATCTCTCTCTCTCTCTGTATTTATGTATAATTTTTTTTTTTGTTTTATGTAGATCGCTGATATCTAAACGCATATGTATTTTGATATGTGTTGACTATAAGCTAGAAGGCACATGCTACGATTATTCATATATACGTATGGTACATAAATACATACAAATTATTCATAAAGGCGTACTCGACGTTGTTTAAAAATATTTGTACAAATGCGCTCTTCACAGTGACTCAAGCAAGGGTTCATATGTTGTATTTCTTAAATATTTGCAAGTTAAATTTTCTTGTTTTTTAATATTGCTCATGCTTTAACCAAAATCATATATGTAAGTCCATCAAGCTTTATACAAAACTTTTAAAAATTCAACAAATTTTCATAAAAATTTCGAATTTTTTAATCTGAGAATCTTGGGTATGCAGTTTCATAGGCCATATAATATTAGTATATTTAATAAAATGCAAGTTTAAAGTCTATAAAAAAATCGCATTGATTTAAATCATTTTTTAAAACTTTTATATATAACAAGTTCAATTTATATAAACTGACGTTGATTTTTTGTTTATTGAAACCTTGTTTGAAAGCAGTTTGAGAATTTTATTTTATAAGAAATACATGTTTATATGGAAAAAGTACAAACGTGATTTTTTAGCCGCCCGACTCATTCACATTATTACATGAAACTTTGAAAGGCTATAAGAATTCCTATAAAAAATGTTCATGAAAATTTTTTAAATGGTTTTGGTTAAAGCATTAACAATATTACAAAAAAAAAAAAAAAATGATAAACAATTTTAACTTGAAAAACATTATGAACATGTGAACGCTTGCTTGAATCACTGTATATACAGAATCGATCATATAATTAGCACCCCATTTCAAAGTGATATTGTTTGCCACTCATGCTTATCTATTTATTTTTAACAATAAAATGTAGTTTATTCTCTTACGAAATCCATGTAAATCCAAGTTTAAAACTTTGTGTTGTAAAAAAAATTAACATTTTTCGCAACACCTTCGGAAAACAATTCTAAAAACTAAACGGTAATTATTAGTTACTACACTACTTACACTAGAATTGTCGACTCAAAAAAATTCTGTGAAATCTTCGAAATATAGAAAATTTTTTTTTATTTGTTTTTTAGTTTTCTAAAAAGTTTTAAACTGGGTTTTATATAGGTTTTATTAGAGAATGAACTGCACTTTAATTGAAAATTCTTAAAAATAAACAAATACGAATGAGTGGCAAACAATAGCACTTTCAAATGGGGTGCTATTGATATGACCGATACTGTATGTACATACGCACATACTTATGTACATTAGGGTGGCCCAAATTTTTTTCCTCCAGCCACCTGCAGGATCTGAAGAATATCAAAAATAAGGAGATACGTATTTTTTATTTTGAAATCGAATAATATTTATCCGTACCGCCGGGGCTTTGTATTTTGCATGGGAAAAATAAATTTTTTCGTAAAATTGCTATAAAATCGTTAAAAATTAATGTGTTTTGATCGAATAACACTATTTCTTTCAGAAGTCTTCAAAAAATTACACTATGATGCTTATTTAACTAAAAAATTTTACTAAGTGTGTTTTAATAACCGAAAATCCGTCCTATCTGTTATATACAAAAATTAGTTATTTTATGTTTTCATAACCACATCTCGCACGAACAGCTCAATGGATGGGTTTAATAATTTTTTTTTTCATTCTACTCGATGTTTTCTGTAGGTTTGTGGTAAAAAATTTTGACAAATAGAGTTTGCCAGATATTTGAAAATATAAAATTATTTAAAGGTCAAAAATAGAAGAATGATTATAAAAAATTTAAGTGTATTTAATACCACAATATCGGTATCACAAGAAAGGTGTACGCATATTGCTTTGGATTAACATGTTTTTAAATAGGGTTGCCACCCATATGTTTACCAAGATGTGGTAAGTATGCAAGTTAAGTTAAATGATGCAATATGCATTTTTGCACACATGGTAGGGACAATATATTGCACTCATTTTAATTTTTTAGATAGGTGTCAACTCTATCCAGAATATGTAGAGGTTAAAGCTTTATTTTAGCACATTTTAATTGAAACTCATATTTTACTTAACCGCAAGTAGTATGATTTAAAAAAAATAATCTTTGCTGGCAGTGCATTAATCTTCCCTTTGATACCCATATTGTGGTATAAAGTAAGCTTAAATTTTTAATAACCATTGCTGTAGTTTTTAGGAAAGGTCCGTACAAAAATGTTTTTAAATCTCTTGAAACGATTTTAGTTTTGAAGAAGAAACTTAAATTTTTCATTGACCTTAAAGTAATTTTATATTTTCAAAAATCACCAAATTTTACCACAAACCTACAGAAAACATTGAGTAGAATGCAAAAAAGAATTAAACACATCCATTGAGTTGTTCGTACGTGATGTGGTTATGAAAACATAAAGTAACTAATTTTTCTATAAAACAGATAGGATGGATGTTAACCGATAACAAAACACACTTAGTAAAGTTTTTAAGTTAAATAAGCATCATAGCGTTATTTTTTGAAGACTTCTGAAAGGAAATAGTCTTATTCGGTAAAAAAATATTTATTTTTAACGATTTTATAGCAATTCTAGGGAAAATTGTATTTTCTTCAAAGCCCTGGCTGCACGGGTAAATATTACCCGATTTCAAAATATAAAAATACGTTCTCCTTATTTTTGATATTCTTCAGTTCTGGGGGTGGCAGCGGGAAAAATCAGAAAAGTTAATTTTCCAATGTATTTTTGGGCCACTCTAATGTACATACGAGCATACATACATATATTTTTATTTAATTTAATTTTTTTTTTGTGTATGAACGCCAGCGAATTTCTTCACTGTATCTGCTTTTCTTCGCTAATCGACTATTTCGAGCACAAGCATGAATCACTTCTATTCCGTTGTGTTGCTCATATGTACCCAAAAGCATACTTTTTGAAACTCAAATATCCATTTAATTTTGCTTTTTAATTAATTCGCACTTATGTACATACATATGTACGTAATTTTATAATTTCGTTTATTTCTTTTAACTTTATTCACTACCGTTGTTGTTTCATTTCCGATTTAACTTTTTGTATTCGTTTTATATTTTCAATAGAATTGATTTCGTTAACTCGCTATTGTTGTAGATATGTAGATATTAATTTTTACTAAAACTCAAGTAATTTTTTTTTAATACATATTTCTATTTGATTTTGTAATTAGCTGTTAGCAATCATTTGTATAACATTCGTTTGAATTTGAATATCCAAGAGAAAATTCACTTCGCGTGGGAATTTCAGAACAAACAGTGCGTTAACTTGTAGCTTAAATTAAATCATCGGGGCGATCAGAGAAAGACTAACGATAGAATTTTTGCTCTAGCTAGCAGTCGCTGCCAACTGAGAGTTTCCGCTTTTTGATTTAACCTCTTCCATCCATATCCCCTTGCACATTCATACATATGTATGTATGTACATATTTCACACTGCCACACTTGGTTGGGGAGATATATACAGTGCATCACAAAAGTGGTCATTAGAAGTGGCACAGTTAAGTTACCAAGCTCATTGAAAATTGTAATTGCATTTAATTGATGAATTAAATATTGCTATATGGTTATCAAACTGAAAAGGTTTAGGAAAGTTTGCTGCCAATAATATTTTTGAGGACGGTTGCCACCTGTTTGAAAAATTGCATTCAGTTAAAGTGATAAGATATTTAAGGTAAATACTGAGTTAATACACCTTTTATATTAAATTTCCAGGCTTGACTCTCACTTTATAAAGCTCCTCAAATCTATTTTATTTTTTATGAATTAAGCCATAGGAGTTTCGGGAGGGAGTAAAAACACAAAAATACTTTTAAGGCAGAGTGAAGCACGCCGGGTATTTGCTAGTATGTGTAATAAAATTGGTTACAAGTCCGAGCTTTAATGTAAAGAAAAATTAATATGCGAGGGTCTTTATTAGATCAACAGAAGCCAAATCAAAAATGTTAGAACTTTTGTCAGTCTGTCTGTATGTTTGTACGCGCATCATTCAAAAACTAATGCATGTAATCGAATGCAGTTTTCACCGATGTATTGCTAGATGTCTAACTTAAAATATAGAAAAAGTAAAATAAGAGGGTTACCACCTTTTTGAAAATTTCAGTTTAAGTTAATTGATAAGATAAAGTAAACATGCAATATGGCTGTTAAAACCAAGAGGTTTCAAAAGGCTTACGCCGAAAAAAAAAATGAAAATTGAAAATTTTAATTTTATTTGATTGATAAGGTAAATTAAATACTGTAATACTGTACCAAACTAAAGATGTTTAGGAACATATTTTTTAGGAGGGTACCTGTTTGTAAAATTTTGTTCAATTAAATAAATATGTAAAATAAAATATTTAAAACACAGATAACAAATTGAAGAGGTTTAAGAAAGTTTAATGTCAAAAATATTTTTGTAGCTACTTTATAAATACCTTCGAAAGTATATTAACTAACACCCACATTCATAAAAAAATAACGAGTTCTTCATAAATCGAAAATTTGCTTAAAAATCTCACTTCATAACCAACCGTGGAACGCTAAAGGTGAACCATTAGGGATTCAAACCACGTGGGTTTCGAGGGTTGCCCCCCTCGCCCTAATCAGAGGGTGCCTTTTGACTATGTTCCCGGTTAGCGCAGTCCATCTCAGGTAATATCATCAGACTCGCTACGGTGAAGGGCTCTGCCTTTATAAGTTCTTTCTAGTCAACGAAAGAACTGATCTGAGTAGGTGGTTGACGATACAGTAAATAAAAATGAAGGTATTTATTACTGACGGGGACTCGGTGAAAAGAAAATGTATTTACATCTTCGGTCATCCGATCCCACCATGGGTAAAACCAAACCTTAGAATGTAAGTCTCCCCCTCGGAATTTTCAATTGTCCATATGAAGAGACCTTAAGATGGCATTTCCGATGAGTAGGCTATGAAAGTAGAGTCGCGATCATCTATGGAAAGCCTTTGAATTTCCATACAAGTTCCCTGCGAAAGTAGGCATGCCGATTTAAATTAATAAATAAAATTATAGTTTTAAAAACTAAAACCTCGCCACGTAGCTTGAGAATGGAAATCGCTGCATCTTTTAGGCGCATCATTATTACATCTTTGCATCCCAAGCTAAGAAAAGCGAGGTAAAATCAATGTGTCTTGTTCGACGGTCGAATTTATTATGTTTTCTATAAATTCAAATATTTACATAAGACGAACGTTAACATTCTTGTTCTTATTTGATAATTTGTAGCTGTACCTAGCGTTGCCGTTTTGCTTAGATTTAAGCAAAATTGGTACATTTTTCCTGACTGTTTATGTGTTAAATTTTTCTTCGGTTTGCTTACTTTTTGCTACAACTCCTGTCAAACGAAAGGGAATACAAAAATTTAAGTTTCATGAACTATATTGTAGTTTTAATCTACCCTGCAATCTCTTATGATCCCGTGAATTGGCGAAATTTGACTCATTTCTTTAATGTGGGAAAAATCTTGTTGTGTCAAAAAAGCTGCTTACTCTTCAAATCTCACCCGTTATCGATTATTATATTATTTTAAAAATTTCCTTATTTATTTTATTGTTAGGAGATGCTGCTGAATTTTTGAATAGCCGTAAAAATTACAACGAATTCAGCGCAGACTGATGGTCTAAAAGTCTATGCCTGGTCCCAGCAACATGGATGTTTTTTCTGATAGCAGTCGCCATTTGGCAGGCAATGCCAAATAACCGAATGTATTTTTGGCATGATTGAAAGTGCTGCCACATATTTTGTAGGCAAACATAATGTGGCGAATACTGCGGCAACGCGAAGCGAACAACGAGAAAATGACAGAATGTTCGGGGAATGACGTAGAATATTGGACATCGAAAAACGTCTAGTGGATGAATACTGCGAACAGCGAGAGAATGAGAGATAGACAACAGAACGCTCTAGAGTTACCATGAGTGCGAGCGCATGTATGTAAGGCCGCTAATACAGCAGAAGACATGTTAGTTGAAAGTCGGAAAGCTACCAGACAAGTTGATTGCGAATCAGGAAGCTACAAGTCAAGTTGTAAAACAGAGATAAATTGTGTTAGCAAGTTTTGTAAAGTGTTTTAATTGCCTTAGCAGGTATTGTTAATTGTTGTTATTACATAAACAAGTATTGTAAAGTGTTTGTTGTTTTGCTTACAGATTTGCTGTTCCTTATTTTAAATAACGCACCGTTACGAGATATAAATGTTTCTCAAATTCAGATATCTATTGAAATTAAAGCATAAATATCTTTATGATATACTTACCTACAATTAAAAATATCGTTCATATTTATGGGATGTGCAGGTCAAAACCCGTAAAAATTAAGAAATTGCGATTTTCCAAATCGTTTACCGACCTATGAAATTTAGCCGATTTTAGAATAGGTATTGGTTTTATAACAATTAATACAGGTTTTTAAAAGCGGCATAGTCTAAGCTAAGAAAACAAACACTGTGGCTAATATGGAGCAATATAACAAATTCCAAATAAAAAATGTTTGGTTTTAGGCAGTTTCAGAACGCTTTGCCGTTATTTTAAAATCTTTTGTATGTAGTATATCAAATGAGTCAGGAACTGAACTTTAAATAGCTGCATTATCTTGAAAAATTACTGAGAAGAATTTCCGACACTACCCAAAAATGTACACTCTATTTTCGAAGATGTTACTTTTCTGTAAGGCTCATTCAGGCTATGTTCGAAAAGTACATCGATATTTTTCGATACATCGATGCATCGATTTGCCTAGGATTTTTCATTTACATTTTATTTTACTTGAAAATATGTTATAAGCAAAATTGTACATAATTTCAAATTATTTACTGTAATTGAGCTAATTCTGTTTCTATCGGAGAGCCATTTCAATTTGTTGGCCAAACTCGCTTCTCTTGTTTGCACAATTGAAAACTGAAATGGCGGTACGACATATTAGAGATGTCAGTTTTCAAAAAACGTTTTATACATGGAAAATTTTCAATGCATCAAAGCAAAACATCAATATTTTCGATGCATCGATGTTTTTCCGACAATCCTACTGTGTTCAACATACTTAGGGCCGGTTGTTCAATGGCTGATTAGCACAAATCGGAGGTAGAAGCTCCGGTTAAGTACAACGACTGCTTTATCGATCACATGTTACATGCATGATGTCGAAAGCGTCGATAGTGTAGTGGTAGTGATAACCAGACATTGAACAACCGGCCTTTAAGCTAAAATGATGTTATTGATGTGTTTGAACCTCCAATATTAAGTGAATGTTCAGTTTAGTGAAAAAGCTATCATTTGAAGTACATGGTGGGGTTATCCCATTTCTTCATATTGTGTAAATTATAAAAAAATATGCTCTTTCTCGCAAAAAACAAGTTGTCGAACAAACGTTGAATAGATATTCTGACGGAATCCACAATAAATCTGTAATGTTTAACTTCGGTCTCAAAATTACAACGCCCATTTCGAGGGGATTCTTCGATTTAAAAAAAGTTGTGGAGCAAATGTTGTCCACGAAGAGATTTTTGCCGCCATACACATTTTTTTATTTCCTAGCTAAATAAATTACGTACAGCTTTTATGAACATTTCTTTGGCTCACTGTAACATTTGTTTTAGTTCTCAGGAGAGCAAACCATTCGAGCGATCGTGGTGCGCTGTCGCTAAAAATGACATAAGCGCTGCCCGACTAGATCGTCACTGCCTTTGGTGAGCCATGAATGGAGCGCAGCAATAACTATTCTTCATATTTACGTTGCTATTAAAAATTATTCGCTATGTCCGAATGAGTCAAAAACCTAGTAAGTATGTACATACATGTAAAAATCTCAAACACACACGCATAAAAAATGTTTAAGATTTTGACGCACCCAAACTCTGCTACCACATACTCTTATGTATGTAAACATATGATATGTACTTATTTACAGACGTAAGGCGGTACTTTCTTGGCGCGCGCCAGCTGATAAATCCATTATCGGTATGTGGGCATATACCTACACCCATACAAATACGAGTACGTACATATCACTAAGTGCTACATGTAAGCGTACATATATAGTATATCGGCAAATCCATCATATCACTTGCCATAAAATCCAGTGCTCTCCAAACTTATCAGCCTAAGAACTAACACGCATGGGCGGACTAAATGGATTAAGCGGTTTGTCACAAAATCCTATTACATATGTACATATACATATACTGTAGTTCACAGTGGTAGTTAATGTGCTCTGCTGTTTCCTCTTTTTCGTGACACTACCTGCAACACAGCTCGGGATGAAGAACTTAGCCTATCGTTTTTTCTCTCGGAGCTGACTCATCGTCAAAAATTAATGAATC